CCGACCTGACCGACCTGACCGACCTGACCGACCTGACCGACCTGACCCTCTGAAGATCAGGCTTAGAATGAGAGATCTGCACGTGCTGCGTCATGGGTCAGGTCAGGCACGTTCGGTGACACCGTTCGGTGCGTTGGGTCGATTCGGCGTTCGGTCGAATGACTGGACAGGTCTCAGGTCCCAACGGTTGGGCTCAACACACCCAGAGCAGGGCATGGCCATGTGACATGGCCGACGGATCGCGGAATCCCAGAAGTCAACATCTAGGCTAAAGCTTCATCAACCCAGGTGAAGGAGGTGCCTGAAACTTTCTGGAATCCAGTCTTTCCTCAAGAGAATGCCATGGTTGTTAAAGTGGTTGTTAGACATTGCTTAGATCTGGCACCAGTATGCTTCAGCGTTTCGCTGCATGCTGGGTTCTATTCGATTCTATTCGGATCCACTGCGGCCCAGCTGACATAGCAATTCTACTGATCAACCGCCCTTTTTCCGGGTTTGGGTTCACGTATATCGTGCAATCTTGACTCAGACATCTCACTGAAGAAATCTGTGTGTTGGTACTTAAGCAGCATCTGAATATGCATGAGAACCTTCAAATGTCAATGGCCCAAGCAAGTCCTCTACACCTGGAAAGACGAAACCAAGCATTATCGGTTGAAAAGGCAACCCCAAACGCAAAGCCAAGGCATGAGCCGTTCAGAGGAGGCCAGCAGCATGGTCGGTCGCTACATGGCCAGCTTCTCCAGCCCAGGATTCCTGTGAGGCATCCCAGCTTACGGCTTGGGTTTTTGGGCACGCAACGAGGTGGGAGGTGGACGGAGGTGGAGGTGCCATGCATGTAACGAGCCACCTGCAACGAGCCACCAACCTCTTCAGCCTGGCGCTCCGTTCGCCTACTGGCCACCTTCAACAACCCACGTAAGTGGAGCATGTCTGCCAGAAGAAGAGCATCTTTCGTCACAATCGACGGCGAACTTGGTCTACATATCAAGGGGGGTGTTTGAGAGGAACCTTGAGTTTCAAGCATACACGGATACGCCCAAACACTCTTTTTCACTCTCCAAAAAAAGATCCACACTGCTTCTGGGCCGTTCTTCCGCAGCGCTCACCCCCTTGCCCGTCATTAAAACCTCGGTCCGCCTCGGCTGGGGATGCAGAAATTCAAGAAGCCGCCATGAAGCTGCAGGAAAAGGATGAAAATGTATCTTTCTAAGAAATGCGACACAATTCAACCAGCTTGATTATGTGGTTGATGGTTTTGTAATGTCTGGTGTGTTCAGTGGCATTTTTGAGAGTCAACGAACAGTCATTTGTCCAGTTGACAGTCTCCTGGCCATTTGGCTGCTATGTTTGCTCCGGGTCTGAACTGGAGAGCGTTTTGTTTTGCAATGTATGTTTTCAGTTTGTTTTTCCAAGGCTTGTCAAGATGACTTCGATTTTGTCAGAAATGGCCTGCGGGCACCACAAACCCTCTAGGTTGAGCACTGTGCCTGGATAAACAAACTCTTGCTATTTCCAATCATGCACTTCGGAGTCTTTTCTAAATTCCCTGGCGCCGGCACCGTACAGTTGAGGCACAGGTGATCTGAAATTAATGAGAGCAAAGTAAGCACACTGAGATTGGTCAAACATTGTCAAAGATTTACAAAATCAAATGAATTATGACATTTGCACCGCGTCTTCTTCGCTCACATTAGCCTGAAAACTCTTGGCACAAAGATCCCGATATCTCTTTGGTGCCTTTGCAATTTTTTGGTGTTGCGTTGTTGGTTCGGATCACAGGGGAAGGAAGGATGGGATGAAGGTGCCACGAGCCCTGAGGCTGCTAGGGTCTTGAAGACCATCAAATGTTCATCCAAGCCCATCTTCGATGGGGCAATGGATTATGGAGAGTCCCTGATCTGGGCTGGAGGGTTCTGTGTGCCTTGGGCACTGACTGCAGCACAGCGTGGGCAAGTGGGCCAATCGGATTTGGGCAAGTGGCCCTAACAAGAAGAGAGGGTTCCTTCTAAGATTCCAAAAGAATAGGAGCCAGAAGCTGCGCTGGCTCAAACTCTGCAACTCCAAAAGCAAGTATATCCATCATTTCATCTCTTCTTCCCAAGGCCTCAATTCGTTAACAAGTTGTGGTCAACTGACCTCAGGAGAAACCTTCAAGGGATCAATAGGCCGAAGGAAGACCTTCCGCCGCGCATTTTGTGGACTCCAACCAGGTGCAACAACCAGATAGTTCTCTCGAACCAAACCTTTCTTTTAGCGATCAAGGTCTTCGGAAACCTTTCTCACCCATCCAGCTTTCGGATGACCACAAAATATACTGATCTGAATGACCAACAATGATGGGTGCCTTTTTTACGCTGCCGCTTCTTCGTCTCTCTGTTGACCGCTGGTTCAAGTGCAGGGGGGTCTCTCCACAAAGAGACTTTGTCTTGCCTGAGGGACGTTTACGACCGAGGTAGATGTCGTTTTTGTCAGGCCCCACAGAAGCCCCGCAGTGGAAGTTCCATTGTTTTGAGGCAAACCTACGGGGTGATGTCTAAAGCCCTTGAAGAAGAGCAGGAATGCAGGGGGAATGCAGGGGGAATGCAGGGGGAAGGAATGCAGGGTGCAACATCTGAGCTTCACATCATCTGTCTGTGTCGTTTCTGCACAAAAGAGCCTGATTCAAAGAGCTCCTCCGTCGCGCGGCTCCGCGAACCTTGACTGAAGGCCCAAATGATTCATTTGAGCCCCCGGACTCAAAAGACCGTGAAGCCTCTGAGTCGAAACGGTGAGTGCAGAAGAAACTACAGCATCCGAGTATGGACAAAAATGGACAAGTTTGGATTGTTAGACGGTGCGGTCCTGCGAGGAGAAGCCTTGGCCACTTTGATTTTTGATCGGGAGAAGTGGATAAAGGTCTGCACTTCTATCAGGAACGGTGCAAAATGTAGTAAGTGGAAAAGTCAAGCTGCTGGAGAGTAAGACATGTCGGCATGAACTCGTGCAGCATGGCAGGTTCTGGCAGGTTGTGGCTTCAGTGCCAGCTAAAAACACAACCACCCAATGGCAAATTCATGAGACCCTCTGGAGCAAATGTTTCTTGAAATCAAGCTGTTGTATGAAGCAAGAGGACCGCCCAACGCCCCACCGCCACGCGATTCACAACAGTGAGGACCAGGCCTTACCCAGGGAGGCCTCAGTAAGGCTCCGCAAACCGCAACTGAACCGTGTGAGGTCCGCCCAAATGTGTTTCTTCAGCCGATGTTAGGATTCATGAATCATGAAGCAAAAATCATTCGGACAGGATGCTTTCCTGCATCTCCATAAGATTGCACACGGACCTGGCAATACCTAGGATCTACCCGTCCCACTTGCATGGCTCAATGCACTCGCGCTGCAGTCAAGAAGCGGCATCAGACATGTCGGATGCCTAGGTCATAGCGTTGGACGGTGACCGGGAAAGCTGCTGATGCTTTGCAATCAAGCAATCACCACTTAGTTACTGTCAAGTCATAAACGTAAGACAAATCATATTCGCCACGCAACAAACCCCTAACCAACCAATGCCCTGATGTTCACCATAAATTGCTCTCATGTTGGCTCCCTGTGCTTTAACTTTCGGCCACTCAAGTCCAAGCTCCTCGTGTGGTGGCATGCAACAGACATTAACAGTGCGAATAATGTGTGCAAGGTTTTTTTGCGAAGTTTGGCAAACTAGCCATGCACACGGGTTTGCTTCCGACTGCAATGCTCTTGTACAACATGCCAGCTGGCAGAAATCGTAGGGCCTTTATTGTTTCGAAGTGAATTCATGCTGCCAGGTGGCAACGCTGCTCCCATCATTCTCCACCTGAAGGAGACGTTGTTTTCCAAAGCAATTACCTCTATCTCTTTGGCTGCCTCTTGGTCGGTCAGTCTTCCTTCGCTTGCTTTCCATGTGTCCTCAGCCACGTGCCTCCTTGGGACTCTCGCGACTCTCGCTGTCAGTGCCTGGATGTCGACAAAAACATTAGACACAAACAAATTGGAAATGGGTATTTTGCGTATCAAAACACTTTCAATCCGAAATTGTAGTTTGCTTTGTGGAAAAAAGGATTGAAAACCAAGTGACAATCCAAAACTGTAGAGTGAAATTCTATGCACCGCTCCGGCCTGCCGTCGTTGCAGTGGCAGCCAGTGCAAGTCCTGCCAAAGAGCCACAGCTGCCAAAGAGCAGCAAGTGACAAGTCAGCAGGCGGGTGGTACCCTCGAACGGACTAGAAAATCGATTTGGATACGCACTTGGGAAGCGTCCGTGCCCATTGGGGTCGGGCGAGCTCTCGTTGAGCCAAACAAGCTCTGAAGCGAACTCGAAACATCCAAATCATTGCGCAAGCTTGCAGCTTCTTTCAGCTAAGTTGGAGGAGCACCCTCAGGTTTCCAACGCATTGGCCAAGTTGGAGGGGATGAACACATGTGTGTATCCTAATACCTGTAACAGCGGATGATGATGGTTAGTAAAGGCCTTGCTTGAAAATAGTGATCACTGTGCACTGACTGTTACAGGTAATAGGACACACCCAATATGTATAACAGGACAAACCCAATATGTATGTATATGTATAGAGAGAAAGAGAGAGAGAGAGAGAGATAGTTATGTTAATCTAGTTGATGTGTCCAACCTTTTGGGTCCTATGGCTTCAACTCCTGTCTTCACGACTCAATGCCCCCACATGCCCACATGCTGTGGTTTGTAGAGGAAAGCAAATACATAGGACAAACATGTTTGCCTGCTAGAGAATGAACTGTGAAAGGCGACCACTTGCCAATCTTCAGCTGCAGCTGGAAAATAAAAGTAGCCAGAAGGCGATGTTTTGCAGCATGGTGACCCCTCAAACGCTTTGGCTACTGAGCAAAAGAAATGATTCGGGCACCTTCCCCCGTGTCCTTTCGGACACCACCACGTTCAAAAATGACATGTTTCCGAAACACCTCCGCGTTCAGAACAGAAACCAAACAAAACCATGGGACGCCCGCATCGCCTGGAGCACAATCTTCCTCCCAGGTCACCATCTTGTCAGCTCGCTCTGGCGGTGGTCCGGAGGTCCGGAGGTCCGGAGGTCGTCTGATGGTGGTCACCCCGTCCCATGGGTGGTTTGATGCGTGGGCTTGATCGATTCTGCCGGCGGCAGCGTGAGTTTGGCGACCATCCACTGTTACGAAACATCACAGGCTTTGTCTTCGACAACCGTTCAAGCTGACCGTCCAAGAACCCACGCGTTCGAAACAAAGAACTCTGGACACAGACGGAAGGAGCACTGAGATCTCTCCATGTTCGGAATCGCCTACCGAATCTACTGAGGGAAAATGCACAACAAAGGCGTTAGTAGCTGCCGGTGCTCTTTTCACCCAAATAAGGAGACAGCTTGCATGAGAGATTGCGAATTTTTAGCCACCATAACATGTGGTGATTATTGGTGGCTGAACAAGAAACATGCGTTGCTTAGATTAGAAAGAAACTGAACCTGAAAGTATGTAGGGTAGGGGCGGTCCTCACTCAAAAGCGTGCTTTTAATGCAAGTGTCCCCTTGTGAGTTGATGGGTGTCCAAAAACACTGGAGTGGTAACAAACATGTGCTACGCCTCAGGGTTTGTCTGAGTGAATTATTGATATAATGATCGTTTCGTCGAGTGTGCCCAAATCACACCGTCATCATCGGGCAGGGCCTAAGAAGCTTGTGGGGGTCCCCACCTGGCAGAGCAAATGTGGCTCTTCAAAGGACTGATGGTGCCTTGGAAAAGGGCTAGCATCATGTCCAAGTCATTGTAGCTTAAATTTTGTGACCACCACACAACCTCCATGTTCAAATGTTCAAAAGGCAACAACAGTACCTGTGGTCGCCTTGGTCTCTTGGTCTTTTTTTTTAAGTGTACAAATTAATTTAGGGTTTGAAGCATCGCATCACAATCAGCATGACTCCAACCGATGCTAAAGTGGTTTGAGGCAATCAAATTACCTGTGGTGTTGTAATTACAGTCACGGTCAACAAATGTTCGGGGTTGGGTAACAAGTTCTGCTGGTTGTTGAGACTTCTATATTTTCAGTTCAAGAAAAGACCAATGGGCGAGCATCAAGTCAGAAGGTCACCCGCCCAAAACATAAGCATTTTTTTTGAGTTGTTTTCGTTGTAGTTGGTTCTGATGGGCGGGAAATGTGTTGTTGCGAGACCTGGCAACAGAGCCCAGCACCCCCAGCACATGACAAGGCATCCAGAATGTGGGAGCACAAAGCTAAAGGGATGAAATACGGCACCCCGATCATTCCTTTTTTGACGTCGGACTCGGCAAAAAAAAACAAACAAAATATGCCACGCCAATCCCCAAACGTGTTGTTTGCTGAATGAAACGCTCACCAACCAGTTTGGATTGCACCTTCTGGTTAAAGGAGGGAACTAGTTCCGAGATCCGGTGCTTACACTGCATTCGAATATATTTCAACCCAAAAAATGTTTCCAGTCTCTACAGACCCAACCTCTATGAACACCTTTGGTGCAAAAACAATCTTGTTTTCACTGCCTGGTGATGCTTGGACCCTTCTGTAACCGCCCGACCCGTACGGCCAGTGCACCTCCATTTGATCTTCTGCCGGTGGTTCATCTTGAGTCAATGTGATCGCATCCTTGTGGCGTGCCCCATTGAACAAACTGAAAAAAATGGTGCACAATGTTTGCGTTGAAGATGTCTTGAAATTGCCGACCTCGGCCTGTTTTCACCATGCAATTTGCACATGCTGACAAAAACTCCTCAATTGAGACTTCGTCTGTTGTCAGCCGTGGTGCTTCGACAGCTGTTTCTTCCTGCAATGAGCGGTTCGAGACAGCTGGACAAAATGCATTGTTCGACACTTTGCTACAAACAGAAACGTTTCCGCTTCCAGGTTTGTTGGGCAAACCACCCCGTGAGATACTGAATGCGCTTGCAAGCCTGCTAACACACCTGCACCAAAAAACCAGCGCAACAAACTGCGCACGCTCCCAGCGCCTTTGGCACTGGCGAAACCGTCGATGAGAAAGGCAACTCTTCCTGGCATGAGTTCAAGTTTTCTGGCACCACCTTTCCAGGGCCGCGGGTTTTTTGCGACAGTTTTGGGTTTTTTTTGCAACGGTGAGGTGTGAGAGGGTTTTTTGCGACGGTGACCGCAGAAAGGGTTTTCTGTGACAGTACTGTCCGCAGGGGTTTTTTTTGCGACGGTGGGGCGAGGGTTTTTTGCGAGGGCTAGAGAGGTGGCACGCGTTTGTGGGGGTTTTCTGCGACGGTAACCGGGTTTTTTTGCGACGGTAGCGCATGGACGGGGTTTTCTGCAACGTTAAGCGGGGTTTTTTGCGACAGTAAGGGGCTCGAGGCGACGGTACTATAGTAGTAGTAGTACGACGGCGACGACGACGACTACTACTACTACTACCACTTCTACTTCTACTTCTACTTCTTACAACCACTGCTACTACTACTACTACTACTACTACTTCTACTTCTTGCTACTACTACTACTACTACTATTACTACTACTAGGACCACGACGACGACTACTATACTACTATACTACTATACTACTATACTTGCTACTACGACTACGACAACCAGTACGACGAATAGTATATTAAGACTACTAGCTGCTAGAACGAGTATACTACTCCTTTGATTTCACTTGTACCACCAGACTGCATATCGTGGCACAAGACGTCGGCAAGGTGGAAGACAGTTGCAAGTTGACAAGCGTTATCCCTCAGCGCTTCTTGGCTTCCCGCATGCCGCGGTATTGAGCTTCTCTGCCACGGCAAGGCGGACGCTGGGCAGAGAAGAAAAACTGTGCGTACGCAGGCGTCGCACCCCACCCTGGCGATGAGCAGGTAACCTGGCGAGCGCAAACAGCGAGCGACAAAGCAGAACAGAGTGAGCAGAACACTTGGAAACAATGGCGGCCACGCCACGTTAGAAGAAAGACCTGGCAGCCACTCCAATGGAACGAAAGCACGAGCTACGAGATTGGTGCGCTGTCAGCGCTCATACAAGAAGATACCAGAATCGGCGAGAGGACAAAAGAAAAAGCATAGACTTCTTTTTGAGCGTCAGTATATCTTCTGTCAGACACCGCGGCGTCTTTTGCGCGGGGGCGCGTCCGATTTGGTGGGACGGCCCGTGCGTTTTCTGCTGCTAGGCAATGCGGTCAGAATCACAGGCGGCTGTGGGAAATTCGGAAGGCCGAGACTGCGAAGAAAAGTGGAATGCTCACATTGTGCATGCATAGCAGCTGCCGGGCAAGAGCATAGAATAGAGGTGGGTCGAACCTTCAAGTACACGACGTGCTCAAAATGAAATTTGAACGACTGTAAGCACAAGTTTCCATCAGGAGTGAACAGGTCAGGCAAGCTCCGGGCACTCAAAGTAGCTGGGTGGATCAACACTTGCAAGACTTTCAAAGTAAGGGCACAGTTCAGTGGCGAAACTGCGGCTGCGCTGGCGAAAGCAACCCAGGAACAATCATTGCACTGCTGCAAGACATAGAGGTCGGTAGGGGCCAATTTGGCAAAGTTGGTGGCGCAAGTGCGCCCAGCCCGTGTGATCGCAGTGCCATTGACCTAGCTAAAAAGTCTCGGCAATCCTCACCAGATGTATAGACCTGCAAAAGCTGTCCCACCAGCTGGTCGTGCCCATGTTCCTCTGGCATGAAAGTAGGCCGGCTGTCACAAGCAGCTTCGGAAAGCTTGGCCTGAGGGAGAATGAATGCCAAGTCACGGAAACAGAGTTTCTAGGACGGCCCGCCTCGTCATCTGCTCCTCGAGGTGGTGAAGACACCTGTGGCGCTACAAGCAAACGGACAGGCATAGCTCAAAGCACAGCAAGGTTGAGTGCCAAAAAAGGAACCACGCTGTTACTTGTGCTGCCTGCGCTGCTGCAGGCTCAGTCAACACAGGTGCCGGAGTAGGAGAGGATGGTGCCTGGCTGCCCACGAGGCCAAGATGGTGGCAAACTTACGGAATACCATGGAAGACATGGGTTCATTAACATCGTTGACGCGCGCCCACATGGCTACTGTCACCCATGGAACCTTGCCCATCACAATCCTGGCCGATGAGGACTTGGGGGAGCGATTGGCATAAAATTCTGCCTTGCATCCGTGCATCCTCTTAGCGCGCTGCCACGCAAGCTGCATCCAAAAGGGGCTCCCCCTGCACGTCAGCTCCACCTTCACACTGCTGCTCAGGAAATCACTCAGTGGTAGTCCTGACAGGTGATGTGTGCGAGGGGAACTCACTTAATCGTGCTGAGGGGAACTCACTTAACAGTAGTGGCTTGCATCCGTGCATCCTCTTGGCGCGCTGCCCCGCAGGCTGGGTGCTTTTTTGCGTGGGGAGGCTTGTGTGTCCACACAGAGAGAGAGAGAGAGAGACATGAGTGATGGCTTCTTGTTCCTTTTTCTCTATCATGAGAGAGAGATGAGTGATTGCCTTCCTTTCTTCAACGGTGGTGCTTCTAATAACATTGCCTGCAAAAGTTGTCTCAGCTTCTGAGGTTTTCTCGAAAATCTTTCTTCTGAGGCGGAATTTTGCAAAATTTATGTTTGTTTCCGCAAGGCCTATCAAGAGAGAGAGAGAGACATGAGTTTGCTTGCTTATTCTTGAACAGTGGTGCTTCTAATAACATTGCCTGGAGAAGTTGTCTCGGTTTGTGAGATTTTCTCTCTGAAAATCTTTCTTCTGAGGCGGAATTTTGCCAATCTTCTTTCTGCTTTTTTTGTGCTTGTTCAGGCTCGTGTCCAGAATAGGAAAGAGCAAAGCCGACAGCACCCTAAGCACTTCCCAACCAGTCCCCTAGGTCAGTACTACGCGGGCTCTTCTCCGCTTAACTTCGGAGGTCGAAAGAGATCCGGCGCATTCGGAGAGATATGGCCGTCGGCGACAGAAAGGTTAGACCAGCACTTGTGCACCTTGCAAAAGTGCATGCTGGGAACACATTAACTTCCTGCACATCCGTTGGCGTGCACGCAGGCGCTCAAACATGTGACTTGGGTGCCCAGGAGCTGAATGGGCATTGAGGTCCTGCGCGGATTTGAACCGCGATCGCTGGATTCAGAGTCTAGAGTGCTAACCGTTACACCACGGGACCAGCTGCATATGACCAATAGCAGAAACAGGCTGGGGCGCAGGTCTCGAAAACTTACCACCAGGTCTCGAAAACTCAGGACCTACTTTGACATGCCCGCTGGCAGGGAGGGGCTCTGCTGGCCAGCAATGGAGCGCCACTGCTGACCACGCCATGCTACCCCCAAAAAGGAGCGTGGGGCGCTTACGCAATACATGTCCTCACCAGGAGTCGAACCTGGGTTGTCGCGGCCACAACGCGACGTCCTAACCACCAGACGATAAGGACTTGCTTAGAGGCCAAGAACGTGGCAAACTTACGGAATACCATGGAAGACATGGGTTCATTAACATCGTTGACGCGCGCCCACAGGAACCTTGCCCATCACAATCCTGGCCGATGAGGACTTGGGGGAGCGATTGGCATCTTAGCGCGCTGCCACGCAAGCTGCATCCAAAAGGGGCTCCCCCTGCGCGTCAGCTCCACCTTCACGTAGTCCTGACAGGTGATGTGTGCGAGGGGAACTCACTTAATAGTGCTGAGGGGAACTCACTTAATAAGTAATGGCTTGCATCCGCGCATCCGCTTGGTGCGCTGCCCCGCAGGCTGGGTGCTTTTGCGTGGGGAGGCTTGTGTGTCCACAGAGAGAGAGAGAGAGAGACATGAGTGATGGCTTCTTGTTCCTTTTTCTCTATCATGAGAGAGAGAGATGAGTGATCGCCTTCCTTTCTTCAACGGTGGTGCTTCTAATAACATTGCTTGCAAAAGTTGTCCCAGCTTGTGAGGTTTTCTCGAAAATCTTTCTTCTGAGGCGGAATTTTGCAAAATTTATGTTTGTTTCCGCAAGGCCTATCAAGAGAGAGAGACATGAGTTTGCTTGCTTCTTCTTGAACAGTGGTGCTTCTAATAACATTGCCTGCAGAAGTTGTCTCGGTTTGTGAGGTTTTCCTCTCTGAGGCGGAATTTTGCCAATTTTCTTTCTGCTTTTTTGTGCTTGTTCAGGCTCGTGTCCACAATAGGAAAGAGCAAAGCCGACAGCACTCTAAGCACTTCCCAACCAGTCCCCTAGGTCAGTACTACGCAGGCTCTTCTGCGCTTAACTTCGGAGGTCGAAAGAGATCCGGTGCATTCGGAGAGATATGGCCGTCGGCGACAGATAGGTTAGACCAGCACTTGTGCACCTTGCAAAAGTGCATGCTGGGATCGCGTTAACTTCCTGAGCATCCGTTGGCGTGCGCGCAGGCGCTCAAACATGTGACTTGGGCGCACAGGAGCTGAGTGGGCATTGAGGTCCCGCGCGGATTTGAACCTCGATCGCTGGATTCAGAGTCCAGAGTGCTAACCGTTACAGCACGGGACCAGCTGCATATGACCAATAGCAGAAGCAGGCTGGGGCCCAGGTCTCGAAAACTTGCCACCAGGTCTCGAAGTTTTCGAGACCTACTTTGACGTGCCCGCTGGCAGGGAGGGGCTCTGCTGGCCAGCAATGGAGCGCCACTGCTGACCACGCCATGCTACCCCCAAAAAGGAGCGTGGGGCGCTTACGCAATACATGTCCTCACCAGGAGCCGAACCTGGGTTGTCGCGGCCACAACGCGACGTCCTAACCACTAGACGATAAGGACTTGCTTAGAGGCCAAGATGGTGGCAAACTTACGGAATACCATGGAAGACATGGGCTCATTAACATCGTTGACGCGCGCCCACAGGAACCTTGCCCATCACAATCCTGGCCGATGAGGACTTGGGGGAGCGACTGGCATAAAATTCTGCCTTGCATCCGTGCACGCAAGCTGCATCCAAAAGGGGCTCCCCCTGCACGTCAGCTCCACCTTCACGCAGTCCTGACAGGTGATGTGTGCGAGGGGAACTCACTTAATAGTGCCGAGGGGAACTCACTTAATAAGTAATATAGTGCCCCGGGTCCCTGTCGGCCTCCGCGGCCTCCATCACACTGTCAGGGCCGCGCGAGGCCGAGCCTCCGCGGCCTCCAAACATGCAAGAGGATGGCCTCCACGGCCTCCATCACTCACAGAAGCATGGCCTTTGCGGCCTCCATCACACTGTCAGGGCCGTGCGAGGCTCACACTCCACAGCCTTTAAGCTTCTCCAAAGCTTGTCAGCTCTTCTTAAAAGAGTCAAGACTATTCACAGTCATCTCAAATCAACATCAAACTCAAGAGAACTATCTCAAACAGTGCCCATGTACACGCAGTGCTACCAAAGGTTCTCTAAGCTTCTCCTAGCCGCATCTAGCCACACCAAACCTTCTAAAAGGTTATCCTGCCAAGTAGGTCAAAGCAAATCACCAACAAAGGACCACAAGCCACAGTCAGCTCCAACCGCCACACCCTGTGCAAACAGGCTACATCGGAGGCCCAAAGTGGCGACCAGGACTCTACAGCACTTTTCACCCTCGCTAAATTCACCGCTGCAACTGCTGCAACTCACTGTGCGCCCTGTGCCTCGCCAACATTTTGCCGGGTGCGTGCGCGCAGGCCTCACCGAGGAAATCGCGTGGCGAGGCGTCTGCCGGTGAAGTTTTCCAGGCGCTTGCTCCAGTCGTGAAATGTCGCTCAAAGTGCGAAGCCACATGCTCCACAAGGCGGCTATAGGCGTGATCGCGGCTTGCAGTCAGGACGCGGCTCGGTAGCATGACAGAATAGGGCCTGTGGAGGAGCCAAGGCACTCAGCCTTGGACTTTTGAGAAGTGGCAGCTCCACCTTGTGGTCTTTCGGTGAGGCTTCTGCATGCGTTTTGCCGTGCAATGGGGGCCATAGAGGCATTCTCCCATCCCAGGCTTTGCAAGGCCATGCCAATATCATCCCGTATTGAAGTCCACCTCCGGAAGACGGGTGTGGAATATGGCAGAGGAGGAGCCCTCGCGAGGCCCGCAAGCATGGCGGCGGGCCATCCACACGCTATGCTGAAATCTTCTAGTAGCAAGCACACTCCAGCATCGCGTAGCTTACTGTGTGCGCAGTCACGTCCTTCCTACTGCCCTACCCTACTCTTCAGTCAATTCTAGTGGTGGTCCTTGAGCCAAAGTTCACATCAGTACACAACATAGCCAAGTTTGACCCTCCCCAAAACAAGACGCATACCAATCTAGCAGGGGGCATGTTTTGTGGTGTGCTCAGGATGGTTCTGTAGCTCCAGAAGGACTGCTGCCAGCACGGTCTTGCCCACAACACCAACATCAGAATCAAAAAGCATCTATAGAATGCTTGGCGATCGATCAACCTCATTCCCAACAACCTTGAACATCAAGTATTGAACCTGAACACTGTACTGTGACCTAGGATCTTGTTCTCTGAAGGGCTGGCTCAAAGTGACCACCCAAAAATTTGAAACCTTTGCCAGTCGTTGAACTTTGAACAAACGCATTCAAGAATGCAGCCCATCTGGCTGTGGGACCCTCCCTGTCTAGACTATTCTAGACTGGTGTCCTCCATTTCGGTTGACAGGCTTTCTGAAATGAACATGCACCATGGGTTCAAGCTGCAAAAACCCCTATGGAACAATTTTCAAGCTGGGGTCTCACAGCAATACTTTGACGCCCAAAAAAACGACCCGCCCTGACTTTGGTCGAAACTGCCCTAGCACTGTGCTGTGCATCGCTGAAGGTAGCTGGGAGACTTCCGGTGATCCGGAAGACGTACACCAAACAGTGCAACAGTTCCCAATCTTCCTACAGAAAGACAGAAAGCCCGAAAACATGTCAACCCCACCTCCTCTTCACACTCTGCAGTTGGCTTGCCCGAGCCCTGCGTTCCATGGGCCACAAACAGACTTGCATCTTTGGCTGGTGTATTCCATTGGTTTTGGTGGGCCCTAAAGAGTGTCAACTGTACATTCAATGATTCTTTTTCATTGGCCATGATGCTTGTGACAT